GCTTGAAGGTTCGGTATGTTGTGTGTTCAGATATATATTTTTTTTTTCACACCACTTTTGCAATACATGGTTATTTGAGCTACTGTCACCTTCCTGCTAGTTTGAACCAGTCTCGCCATTTTCTTCTGACCTCTCTCATTATGAAGGCATTCTCGCCACATAACTGCCGCTCACTGTGTTTTGTGTTTTTTACGCCGTTCTCTGCAAACTCTAGAGACTTGTGTGCGAAAACCCAGATCAGAAGTTTCTGAGATACTCAGATCACCCCGTCTGGCACCAACAATCATTCCACGATCAAAGTCACGTAGATCACATTTCTTCCCCCATTCTGAAGCTAGTCTTAACAACTGAACCTCTAAACCGTATCTTTACGTTCTTCATCGTTGAGATGCTGACACGTCATTGGCGGATTAGATATTTGCATTAACGTGCAGGTGTACAAGTGCACTTAATCAGTGGCCATTGAGAACACATATGTGCTTGCGTACAAGTGTACGTGCGCAGAAATGTAACTTTATAATCTATAATAATCTAAGACAATCACTCAGTGAAACTTGGCGGGATTCCCGTCAGGTTATGATGGGAGTGATTAAAAAAAAAAACGTTGATTTTTCCCAGGGGAGGTTTCTTCAACCAGTTATATCACAGAAACCAATAGACAAGTCACACCGTATACCATGGCATTTAAAAAATAAACATTTTAAATTCGGCTTCATTCTTAATACCTGACAAAGAAAATTGGATAAAAAATATAATACAGTAATTTGAAAAGTTTTAAAGTTCTGTTTAATTTTTCAGAATAACCTAATTTCTTAGTGGTCCAAAGTTAGCATGCTATTCCATTTATATATTATATATATTATATATATATATTTTATATATATATATATTTAATATATATATATATAATATATATATAAAATATATATATATATATATATATATTATATAATATATAAAATATTATATATAATATAAAATATATAATTTTATTATTATTATTATTATCACATTAAGAGACTACAAATCGCACTAAGATTCTGAATCTTCCTCTAAGATACACTAATGTTGAAAGTTTGAAGCAGATCAGAAGAAGCATTCTCCAGTTACCTCACAAAGTCCAACATTTCCAAGGTTTTAACTATGTTAACCTATAAACAAATTTGCTCATTCACAGCTAAATCTTAGTATCTCATATTTATCATCAACTACGTTAGGGTCAAAGGATAGAAGCGGATCATGAGAGGTTTTCCGCAAGGTATTGACCCCTCAAGGAAGGTTCCTTCATGTTGATGAGGGGCTCTTGATTTAGGGAATTGGATCTGTGCTCCAGTTCCCCGAATTAAGCCTGAATGCCTTCCACATCCCCCCCCCCCAGGCGCTGTATAATCCTCCGGGTTTAGCGCTTCCCCCTTGATTATAATAATAATAATCCGGAGGTATTGAGTGCAAAACAATATCACAATTTGTTCAATAAATTTGGCAAATTGAGAATCATGTAGCCTAGTAACGGCGCTCACCTGAAGCCGATCAAAAAATTCTCCAGTTATCTCACTGAATCCAAATAATTACAAGTTTTTTATCTGTTTGATTATTTACAAATTTGCTCTTACGCAGATTATTCTTAAAATATATCATCTTTTTATGATGTTCTTCGGCCGTTAACAGTTTAAGTCATTCAGAAAAGCCATTGCTATAATATTTCATGATAAAAAAACATGACTTTAATAATCATATCTATAAATTGGCCCTTTCACACTCCGAAAACAATCTTGACCTTTTTTACGTAGGATAAACCATTATTCAAAGTTTGAAGCCGATCAGAAGAGGCTTTCCCACGTTATCTCTTGGAAAAGAAATTCGAGAATAATCTCCACATAGAGCTCCTGCACGTGCCGGTAGTTGCACGAACCTTGCCATAGTTACACTACATCAACCTTGAAAATTTGAAGCCTGTCAGGTAAGGCATTCTCAAGAAATAAATGAAAACTACAGAGGAAGTAAAACGAAAATCAGGCAGCCATTTAAAAGTACTTCGGGGACGCATAATTATTCTAAAAAAATGTAGAATTCTAATAACATGATAAATTAACAAATGTTTAATAATTCAAGTGCTTCTCTTTTTTTTTTTTCTTTTTTTTACATTTTGGTATTTATTTATAACTGTGGTCATGTGTTTTGTTATTATTTTTATACGAATGTTAAAAACACGAAGGAAAAGAATAATAGTATATAGGTAATATTCTATATCATTACGGTGCACTAAGACGGGAGTTATCCTGAGGTTGTATTTGTCAAGACACGCACAAGAAATGGTGAAGGTTCGATCCTCAGCCCTCAGGAATGGTGAAGGCTCGATCCTCAGTCCTCAGGAATGGTGAAGGCTCGATCCTCAGTTCCTTTAACATCGTTGCCATCTCTGACTTACAGTACGTGGGCAAAGTAAAAGAAAAAAAAACTTACCTCATGAAAAAGTATTACCTAAATTATGCTTCAGTTGGTCTTGCGAGAGTTGTTGAAATTATGTGGCGATGTAATCCTAGTTGACTCGAGAGTTTTGTACCATAAACTCTCTTATATACATATATATTGGGTTTAAGAACATACAGACTGATCTGAACATTTAACCCGGAACTTAGCTGAAAATTGCGAAAAATGCGATTTTGTAAAATGTGATTTTGTCATACCGTTTTTCTGCAGTATGACATTTGGATCCGTTACCTCGGTTCCCTGTCAACTGTTCCTACGACAAGGAACAAGGGGATCAAACGGCCGTCATATCAGTGTCAGCGCGACAGTAAATAATGGAGCATCATCTGTCTTAATTCCCATTCGGGAATGGCAAGATTGGAGTTTGTGAGTCCAGTTGGGTCTGTTATGACCCATGAATTAAGTGAAATCCCTCATTTTTAGTATTTATGTTCCTCGAGACGCTGGTGAACAGGAGAGCATTCTCATTTGATCGACTATAGTTTGAGCTTACTTGGTTGTTGCTACTACCATCACAGCCACTACCACCATCACCACCACTGCTAATGCCGCTACCATTGCTACCACCATCACCACCACCACTGCTAATACCACCACCACCACCGCTGCTAATACCACCACCACCACTGCTAGTACCACTACCACCACTGCTAATACCACTACTACCACTGCTACCACCACCACCACCACCACTGCTAATACCACCACCACCACCACTGCTAATACCACCACCATCACTGCTAATGCCACCACCACCACCACTGCTAGTACCACTACCACCACTGCTAATGCCGCTACCATTGCTACCACCATCATCACCACCACTGCTAATACCACCACCACCACTGCTAATACCACTACCAACACTGCTAATACCACTACCACCACTGCTACCACCACCACCACTGCTAATGCGACCACCACCACCACCACTGCTAATACCACCACCACCACCACTGCCTAATACCACCACCACCACTGCTATACCGCCACCACCACCTCTGCTAATACCACCACCACCATTGCTAATACCACCACCACTGCTAATGCCACCACCACCACTGCTAATACCACTACCACACTGCTAATACCACTACCACCCTGCTAATACCACCACCACCACTGCTACCACCATCACCACCACTGCTAATACCACTCCACCACTGCTACCACCATCACCACTACTGCTAATGCCACCACCACTGCTACACCATCACCACCACTGCTACCACCATCACCACCACTGCTACACCATCACCACTACTGCTAATGCCACCACCACTGCTACCACCATCACCACCACTGCTACCACCATCACCACCACTGCTACCACCATCACCCACCTGCTACCGCCATCCCACCACTGCTACCACCATCACCACTACTGCTAATGCCACCACCACTTCTACCACCATCACCACCACAGCTACCACCATCACCACCACTGCTACCACATCACCACCACTGCTACCACCATCACCACCACTGCTACCACCATCACCACCACTGCTACCACCATCACCACCACTGCTACCGCCATCACCACCACTGCTACCACCATCACCACTACTTCTAATGCCACCACCACTGCTACCACCATCACCACCACTGCTACCACCATCACCACCACTGCTACCACATCACCACCACTGCTACCACCATCACCACCACTGCTACCACCATCACCACCACTGCTACCACCATCACCACCACTGCTACCACCATCACCACCACTGCTACCGCCATCACCACCACTGTTACCGCCATCACCACCACTGCTACCCCATCACCACCACTTCTACACCATCACCACCACTGCTACCACCATCACCACCACTGCTACCACCATTACCACTACTGCTAATGCCACCACCACTGCTACCATCATCACCACCACTGCTACACCATCACCACCACTGCTACCACCATCAACCACTACTGCTACCGCCAATCACCACCACTGCTACCACCTCACCACCACTGCTACCACCATCACCACCACTGCTACCACTATCACCACCACTGCTACCACATCACCACTACTGCTAATGCCACCACCACTGCTACCACCATCACCACCACTGCTACCACCATCACACTACTGCTAATGCCACCACCACTGCTACCACCATCACCACCACTGCTACCACCATCACCACCACTGCTACCACCATCACCACACTGCTACCACCATCACCACTACTGCTAATGCCACCACCACTGCTACCACCATCACCACCACTGCTACCACCATCACCACCACTGCTACCACCATCACCACTACTGCTAATGCCACCACCACTGCTACCACCATCACCACACTGCTACCACCATCACCACCACTGCTACCACCATCACCACCACTGCTACCACCATCACCACCACTACCAACATCAACACCACTTCTACTCATGCTCGTATGAATCTTTAAACGTTATGAATTTATTTTATTGTTTTTTCAATCTACTGGTCGTCTCCCACCGAGGCAGGGTCACCCAAAAAGAAGAAAATTATAAACTTTATCTTTTCTTTTATTAACAAAATCTTTATTGTAACAAGCATCAGCAGTTTTAAATATGTTTTCAGCCCTCTAACTTTGAAGACGTTTCTGAAAAAAAAAATAGAAACTTGTGGACAAGAGTCTGAATAGTAGTGTTGTTGCTTGTATTATTATTATAATCAAAAAGAAGCGCTAAGCCACAAGGGCTATACAGCGTTGTTGCTTGTAACAGCTGAGAAAAAATACGTTTTCTTTCATTTATGAGAATATGTGACTTAAGTATGTCTATAGCGCTTTGCATATTTAATTGAATCGCCAATTTTTCATGATAACGATAACGTGATTTTGTTCTCTTAATCAATATGAAATTTTACTGCATATTTAAATTATTTTTTTCCAATGCAAAATCAAAACAAAACCGATTTATGACTTTTTTTTTATTGGAGATTATCATTTCATGGTGTAGTTGTGATTTCCAGCGGCTCCGTCCAGCCCAGCCCAGCCTCTGCAGCAACCCACAGACAGGAGAGTGGCAGCCAGAGTGAACAAGTGGCCACACTCACCCATATTACTACAGACGCTGGTCACCTGAAGGTTTTTGACAGCGTCGTCATGGGCGGGATGCTGTATGAGAATGGGCATTGGTTATGTTACGGAGCTTCAGTTGGAAGTTCAAGGATAGGAGGCTAGTGTCCTCCCAATGAAGTCCTCGAGAAAGTCCTAAGCGTTGAGAAGGGTGTTGATGTCATCCTTGAGGTCCTCAGGATCTGTAACATCTGGATGGTAGCGTGTGTACGGCTTGCCATCTCTACCGATCAGGAACTTCTCGAAGTTCCATTGAACGTCCCCAATTCTTATGGGCTCATAAAAGAGGTCAGAATAGAACTCCGTGTATGTAGACTCGCACGCGCCCTGAATTGGACACAAACAAAAATCAGATTTAATCATAGTTCAGAAAAAACAAAACTACCAATTGACTAACGTTTATTCGGAAGAAATGTATGTAAAAACCATTAGGAGTTTATTATAAAACAAGTTCACAGACTTCTCTTAAAAGACTGGAGTACAATATTGCATTATATGCCCATAAATGAAGAAAAATGTACAGTTAACAAGTTTCTAAGGGCAGAGTTATTGAGGATGAGGCTGTAGAGTGGAAGTGATGCAACTTTGTAGTCGGAAGCTAAGATTCAAGATTACCTGTGAGGTACTCTGATGAGATGAATAGCTTCTCTCTGAATTCTATAAAACTGCTATTAAAATATACTTGAACTCACCTTCAGGAATGTAAAGAATGGGTGTTCATTATTGCCGTTCACCTCAGTCTTCTCAAACATGGTGATCAGAGGCTCAAATCCGTCACCTGGACGAACGTAGCGGATACCGTTCATGATCTCGCTGTTGGTTCCCGGCTCTAGCTGTTCTCAGAAAGAAAAAAAAATGTAATAAAGACGATTAAGAAATATGCATTGCGTAAATCTCCTAAATTCGCAGGTACTTCATTAAAATGTAATTTATGATATATAACTCAGAGGGAGATTCCGTACACATCAAGATAATATTTTTATATATTACCATTGAAAACTGATTGCAGGGAAAGCCAAGGATTACGAAGTCCTGATCGACGTAGAACTCCGCAAGTGCATTCATCTGGGTGTAAGACGGGACGGTGAGTCCGCAGAAGGTGGCCAAGTTGATCACCAACACCACCTGTGGGACACAAACATTACATCGACGGCTGCTGGGCGAGGATTTACATGTAAATAAAGTTTAATAAGTAGTACTACACAAGCATTAAATTATTTTAACAGTGTATAAAACATTGATTCTAAAGTTAATATAATTTACTCTAAAATTCAAGTCGAACAGTGCAAAAATAAATAATTAATACAAATCGAGGCTATTAATCCAATGTTATCTGAATTGATTTGATTTAATAAGCGAATGTTTAAATTCTGCATAGTTATGTAACAGCTGAAGGATACTACTTAGATAATGAAACAGCCATTAAGGAGTACGCAGATTGTGGCGATATTGAATATGAACTGAAAATATTTTAGAGAAATAGATAATTATAATTGTGACAACTTAAGAAAAAAAAAAAACTGAGGTTGCCGTAACTGTACCGTGATGGCTACCCACCTTGCCTGTGTATTCTTCAAAGCTGACTTCAGTTCCATTCTCCAGCAAATTGGCTGAGAATTGATAAATGTCGCCTTCAACTTCCCCACAAACACGTCGGGGGAAGATTTCCGCGAGTCCGGTACAGGGCCGCATCAGCAGCGCGGCACTAACCGGGCCATCATCTTAATTCCCCTGCAACAGGTTTTTTGGGGGCTCTTTTATCAGCGACGCTGCATGTTTTTCACACATATTTTCTTGAGACAGCTTCATTTTCCCTTACGGAGATATTTTAAACTTGATAAAATTTTTCAAGATTAAACAGAAAAAACACATTTGTCCTCTGCATAAGCATTTACCACATTTCTAAAAACCCCCTTCACAAGAGAGAAGTATGTAAAACAAGTTTCTCGGTCTGTCAAAACTTTATTTATAATGTTTGATAAACCTCTACACGAGTGAATCTTGTCAGAAAAAAAGGATCCGTTTTGCACACCTTTCACTACACTTGTCGCCCATTTGCCAGTCAATTTTGGGGCCATAGCACTGAAGGAACGGGGGAAGGAAGCAAAAAACCCCCGCCCCGGCTGAGAAACCATCTGCCCTCGACCTCGCTCAACCCACTTCACTCTAGGGGACAGTCCTATTTCCGCCTCTTTAATTTGCTCAGTAATTGTTTGTTAACTGAGGAACGCTTTGAGATTTTTTTTTTTAAACTATTTTTAGCATTCATTGTTGTTGAAGTAAATGACACAAACGCAACACTTAAAAATTTATTAGTGTTTGCTCACTCGGTTTGAAATCCAAAAAAGGAAACACATATAAAAAGGTTTAGGTGCCCTAGCAGGTGTGAAAGACAGGTAAAAATTCCGACAAGATGAAATTAAAAAACCTTGTGCAACAAGGTTTTTCTTTTTTGTAACTTTTCCCCTCCAGTGGCTTTATCGATACAGATTTTGGGGAAAAATTAGAAAAAAGAAGAACTATTACAAAAATAGGAATCAGTCCCCACCTGGGGGTGGGTTTCGGGGGGCAACGCCCCCACTTTATTTAAAAAAGTTTTTTATTTTGACTAGTATCCTTAAAGCCAATTTTATTACAAAAAAAAAAAGGCTTAATAATAACTTGAGAATGCATCTTCTGGTCGACTTCAAACGCTTAAATGTTCGTGTATCAAATGTAAATATATAAGAAATTTCGGCTTTGCTTTGTGGATGTCAGTTTGCCAAGTTCATAAAATTATCAAATTGGACTTTTTTAAGAAACATAAAATCAATTATTTTCTCTTTGAAGAATGTAAAGATTTTTTCAATAGAAAGAATTACAAAAACGGTCTTCATTTACAGCTTCAGACCTCCTTATCTGATCGGCTTCGAGTTTTCAACCCTACCTGGAGGTGTGAAATATTAAGTAAGTTTATTCAGGTACAGGTACACATAAATACAGTTACATAAATTATCATATATAGCAGCAGATGTGTAGATTATCTAGGATAACCCCGAGAAAAGTCAGACAAAGTGATTTATTGCCATTGGGGTCCTTGATTTCCATATTGGTCCCTGAAGGCTCATGGACATTAGAATTGGTGTAGTTGCCCTCTGCTCAATATTTTATATGGATCCCTACCAGTTTAGAGCTTTCCTTTGATTAAAATAAAATAATTCTGAATGGATTCAATCTTTAATGTCATCCATCTTAGAAAATGGATGACTCCTGGTCGCTTATGGGGGCTCACAGGTACAAATGATTAAGTAGACTGAGAGATTTTATGCAATAATATGTTATGAGCTTTTAAGAGAAGTAGAGGCACCAATTAATCAATATTTGCTATCAGGAGTGCATATCCTTACGAGAAAATAAAAGTGTACGCGATAAAAACAAAGAAAATGAAGAATCAATCTATGCTAAAAGAAAACTGTATTTATTAAGGAATAACTATGAATTAAGAGCAACAATAGACTGTTCATTCATTCTAATTCTGTGGCTATGTTCAACCTACATATGCTTATTATCCAAGAACCATGATGCTGGTTCCGCTTCACACACGGAGGGCCCGGGTTCGATTCCCGACGGGAGGAAACATTTCGACACGTTTCCTTACACCTATTGTCCTGTTCACCTAGCAGCAAATATGTACCTGGGTGTTAGTCGACTGATGTGGGTCGCATCCTAGGAGACAAGATTGAGGACCCCAATGGAAATAAGTTAGACAGTCCTCGATGACGCACTGACTTTCTTGGGTTACCCTGGGTGGTTAACCCTCCGGGGTTAAAAATCCGAACGAAATATTAATCTTATGACACAATATAAGAAAGTTTATGGAGGCACAGTTACACAAATACACCAACAATATTATTTTCCATACTGGGGAGAACAATCATTCTAATGCAGGATGTTCATCATCACCATGACAAGCAGCCAACTTATTATCTGTGCTGAGCTACTGCGTCTTGAACAGTCAGGTAAAGGACAGTAAAGGACCCCAGTGGAAATAAGTCACCCTGTCTGACTTTTTTGGGTTATCCTAGGTTCTCTACATATATGCTGCTATGTATGATAATCTATGTAACTGTATTTGTGTATACCTGAATAAATTTGCTTACTTACTTACTAGCTGCATTAGTAATGGATCCAGGTTCAAGGTTACGATAAGATAAGGTGTCCCATGGCTCAGTTGGCAACGCTCTCGCCTAACACTTAGTGTCAGTGGTTCAATCCTGGCACGGGTGGGAATGTTTCCTTACACCTGTTGCCCCTGTTTACCTAACAGTAAGTAGTTACCTGGGTAACTACTTACTGTTAGGTGAGAGTAGCGACTCTCATTGCTGAGGTTCAGGTAATAAGCCCTGAACATTAACATAAAACATAACCGAGATTAATTAAGAGGACCCCACTGGAAATAAGACAGACAGTCCTCGATGGCACACTGACTTTCTTGGGGTATCCCTCCTCCAGGTTAAAAATCCGAACAAATCTTATCTTAATCGTGAGGTTCATGGACTTAGTTTCCAATTTCCACTTTTCTTAAAAACATCCCATGACAAGTGTCTTATCCTGTGCTCACAGAGTGGCGCTACCAAGCTCGTGCTCCCTTCAGCCAACCTTTCTACACATGACAACGTGTTCAAGCGATAGTGTATTGGAGTGGGATACAAATAAAAAATTAAGAATGTTGGATATTTAGAAGCAAAAGTGAGCTTTTGTCGTAGAAATCATTGCCCCGACTGTTCTTTTTTAACATAACTTTCAGATTGATAAATTTAGGGGAGAAATAGAAGATCACTGAAGCTTTCCTCTGTTCACCCTGGATTCTCTGATATTTCATTGTAATATTGTCATTGTCTGTCTGTAAGATAGTGGTATGGGAAATTATGTAATGATTAGCGGTCAGTGAAGTTGATATGAGATGGTAAAGTCATAGTGATAACCGATTTGTGTTTGGTATTTATTGATTATCTTCAGAAACATATTATAGAGGGTTGAGAAGTACTCATACCATTATACTATTGAAATCGAAGCTATGAGATACGATTGTACTGCTTATAGCTTTAGGTGACTGTTTTGTGGGTTTTCCCCAATGAAAGTTAATTCTATGTAGGTCTGTTTGTGGATCTGTCTCTTCTATATATATTGATATGGCCTCAATTGTCTTATGGATCACGGAATCTGAAGACGATTGGATGTGATGGTGCAAGATGTAAGGTAGGGATAGAAAGTACATGTACCTTGTTGAGTAAGGGACTGGTTAACTGGGAGGTATTTGCTCTCTCAGGAAATGTAGAAGACTACATCTGGCCCTTTGTCTCTGGGAAAGGAAGAACAGAGGTGCTGTGTGGGGTAGCATGTATTTCTGAGAGTTTTAGGGAAAAGGTCAATCTGGGGCAGTCCGTCTGAAAAAAGAAACAGGATTACGAGTGGTGGGATATTAGTAAGGACCCAGGGTCGAGAACTTATTTTTCTTCAAGGTTGTAGCGAGTGTCGTAGGGATGGCTGAGGGAAGGATGGGAAGATCTGGGATGTAGTGTGTGTCTGTGTTCGAGGGTAGAGGTGAAGATCTAGGCAGAGGTGAAATCTGGGATGTAGTGTGTGTGTTCGAGGGTAGAGATAAAGAAGAAATGGAAGTATGGACTTCAAAACGTTTATATAGAGTCATATAATTATTATGGAGTGTTCTTAGAGGTTGAAGAGGTCTGATTTTTCTGAAGGATTGACTTTCAGTAATCAACATATTCTTTAATGCATTCAGTTATGTCCTCACAATTTTTTTTGCCTTATACAAATATATGCCCCTTTAAAAAAATTGCATAAACTAAATTTTAATGTCACCACAGGATATAAAACTGACCAGATAATAAAACCTATCGTGATTTACTTAGATTAAAGCAATAAACAAAGCATAAAACAAATATTCTTCTCGTGTCATACATGAAACAAGATAAACATTATAAAGCAGATGTATATATTTTGAAACATGACAGCGTCAATGAAAGGAAATTAATGAAAAAGTGTAAAATTGGATTTATTTTCATAACTATACAACAATACCATACACTCCAGATGTATTGATCCATATTTCATGAAGTACAAAGAGGACAAGATATCAGTAACTGATATCAAGTACTGTATATCTAAAATTGGCTTAAAATTAAATTAAGACATCTATTCAGATTGCTAAAATGCTACATCTCGTTTACAAATCATTAGGGTTTCAAAAATATTTTGTCTGTATAGAGGACCTGAATAAAATTCTGAAGCATAAAAACCATTTTTTAAATTTTTTGAAAAATAAAAACTATGTACAGTAAATTTTGATTGTTTTATATAAAAAAGTACCACTAAAGCCAAGACTACAATACACTCTCTAAATTAATATAACAATTCTTTTCTTACGTAAATAAAGTTTAAAATGCTACAAATCATAGGAATCTTGGAGTGGATGGAGCAACAGCCTGGATGTCACAGTGTTGCATTGAATTTGATTTAGAATGCATATATCCTGTTAAATGTAAAAGGTGCCAAAGACTAGGTCTAAAATAATTCCTTCGGTGGCTGGAAGAAGAATTAAGAGTGCAACAACTTTAGGAATGAGCACAAAAGTTCAATATCCTAAGTACGAGGTGGAAAATTACTTACTCTAAAAACCAAAGTTAGAAATGTGAAACAGTTCAAAATCAGGAAAGATGACACAAGAAAAATGAATGGAATAGTTAAGTCGAAGAAAGGAAGAGAGTTTTCTTATAAGGAGAAAATATAGAGATTTATCAAAGAACGAAATCCTTCGTGGTAGGAGCTTTGATGCTGGTGAGGAACTCTTGATCCAAGGAGTTGGAACTATTGTCCTCTTCCTTTAAACAAGTCTGATTACATCAAATTTTCCGGGCCTTGTAAAATCTCTAGGGCTTTAGCGATTCCTTATGAATAATAATAAAAATGATGATAATAATAATAATAATAATAATAATAATAATAATAATAATAATAATAATAATAATAATAATAATGATAATAATAACAATAAATATAATAATACTTAATAATAATAACAACAACAATAATAATAATAATAATAATAATAATAATAATAATAATAAGCACTATGATCAAGTTATTGTGTTACTACCGAGAAGGAAATGGACAGAGAATATAACATATATATCTGCAGTTTCCACTGTTCTAATAGGTTGCTCTACATACAGGCAGTACGCTCTGGCATCGACTATGGAGCACTTGCTCTGGTTCACGCCAGGCCCACGAACATCAAGTGTCTCTGTGTGGTCCAGAACACAGCTGTACGGGCCATGCTGGGGGCGCCTAGGTGGGCCAATGCGGTATCTCTGAACCTTGAGGCGCAGCTGCAGCCCCTTGAGGACAGGATTCAACTTGTAGCTGCCAAGAGGATAGCAAAGTACCTCCGACTCCCAGGGGCTGAAAAACTGATGAGGGATTTAAGGGTCTACTAGGGACATGTCATACCAGTGCACCCCGGCCGCCGATGGATGTGGTCAATTGCAGACGTCACAAGGAAGCTCCTGCCCATGACATTGCTCCAGGCAGGAGGCTGCGACAGACCGGCAGCAAACTACACGGTGCTGCCTCCTTGGGCGCCAGAGCTGCTGGCGGTGCACTGGACAGCCCTACCAGGCAGCAGGAGGTATTGCCCCCAGGACATTCTGCAACGACTCGCCTCGGCTAGCATTGTGGGTGGGGAAGGCCCAGGGTGTGTTCCATATTACACTGATGGCTCCAGAGACCCAGTGGCAGGCCGCACAGCTGCTGGGATGTTCCACAACAATCTGACAGCAGGTTGGTGCCTCTCTGACCATTGCACCATACTTCAGGCTGAACTCTTTGCCATCCAACAAGCTCTGCAGCATGCAATTGCAGACCATCAGCATCCCCCCGTCATCCATGTTGATTCCAAGGCAGCAATCCAGGCAATTATGCACAGAGAGCCAAGGACAACATACAATCACATCCATCCGGGGCGACCTGCAGACGCTCATGGCCCAGGGTCGCAGAGCCACCATCAACTGGATCCCGAGCCATGTGGGTATTCCTGGCAATGATGCCGCAGATGAGGCTGCGAAGACCGCAACCCTCGAGGCACAGCCACGTGTTGCAATTTCCATCAGCCACAGCCAGATTATTCTATGGGCTGCCAGTGTGGCCAGGCGCCCACTCCCTGACCCTGGGGATTTACGAAGCCTCCGCTGGTATGACAGGGCGACTCACAGGGCGGGGCGCCCCCTCCAAGTATTCGGAAGCAGACCAGAGACTGCGGGTGTATATCCACCGCCTACGCTTAGGGTTTCCCACCACTGCGCGGATTGTTGAACCGGTACAAGAGGAGCTCTGTGCCCATTGTGACCGAATGGTTCCGAAACCAGTGGTGCACTACCTGTTAGACTGCCCAGCTACGATGCCCCTTCGCTGTAGACACTTCCCAATGACCCCAGTGGAGCAGGCCCGGGAGGATGAGGCGGCACATCTTGTGTACTTAGCCATCAGACTTGGAAACCTTACTCCCAGTCATTGCACGTCACAACCCCCGCTGACGTCGCTGTGAGCGCCTGCTTTGGGCCTCCCTTGCACCCCGCACCAACCGCCGTTGTAGCAATTTAACTTTTGGGACATTTGTCCATAGAACCGGAGAGGAACCCCCCTTCCCACCGAAGGACTGCCACGCATGTTAGAGAAAAGATAAACGACACTTCCCTACCCGGGGAACCAGTGCCCAATGCCGGGTCACCAAATTGGAAGAGACCCGGGCCGGGATCCATACCAGCAAATCAAATAGAATAGAATAGGATGTTCTAATGACTAATTGAGAGGATCGCATAGAGTAGCATGTACTTGTAGTCGTTACTGGCTAATCAGTATATAAGTGAATATAAATGGAATGGTAAACAAAGGTAATTAATATAAATGTGTTGGGCAAGAGGCTATATAATTATCCAGGGATAGAAGGGAGGTGAACATGCTGGGCAATGTAGAATCTATATTATAAAAGTGTGAAGTAAATGAGGAGAAGACTGAAGATTTGCATAGACAAGAGGGCATGTGTTGATACAAGTTACCAAGAAGCATGTCTTCATGGGCACCTAACTAGGAAAGTATACCCTGTAAAAGAGGTTTGACATATACACATAAATAATAACATTTTAAAGTCCGTGAAAGAAATCATGGATACAAATACGAAATATGATTAATTTTAATTAGTAAAATATCACAGTTACACAGTAAATGGAACCTAATCATAACATGGACAATGATGTAATCTACGTAGACTATAACTAACTTAAAATAAAAGTTGCTCCCGTCTGATCATCATCTAGTTACAGACTTCTGGTTCCCGTTGCTATCATTGGAATATTTCAAATTATTTAATACCAGTTTAACATCGCCACCAGCCAGGACCTCCCTCACTGCTTGGTCTACCAGACGTTTACATTTGTCTACAAATTTTCGCAGTTTAGGTGTAAATGGGTCAAAATTCAATGGCCTCCTTCTTCTTTTATATATTCCATCTTGATGCCTTATCATGCAATCAAAATTATTTTCCGTGACCTCCAGATCTAAGAACTCGAGTATTCTTCTCATCTCTTCGGGTAGATTATCCAGGAGGTCCTCGTAGAAAACTAGATGTAGAGGACCACTAAATTTTAACCAATCAAGAGTTGTGTTCATCCACGCCAAGGCTTTGTTAGTCACAAACTTCTCCCAGTCTGAAATATTTTCATGACTTTATTAATAATTTATTTGTAGGGGTTTATAAATAATGAACTGTACAAAGAAGGAGGTTATGGGAAAACCGACAGATAATATGCAATCATTAGTAAAGCTCTATAGTGCATGGTGCTGCCTGTGCATTCAAAATAGGTGTCAACTATACATAAAAATAACATAAGAGTTTGATTTCAAGTGATTAGAAAATCTTTCAAGTAATATTTCAGGACTACTAGCTACATGTGTCCTCTAGTGTAATAATATACATAAAAATTAAAGGCACTTATATCTGATACTGCTTTGTGACCCTTTCGGGTATAGCACTTTTCTAAGAATATAATAACTGAGTGTGCTTTGGTCGCTGCGCAACCTGAGGTATCTCCGCAGCCCTTAATAAGCTTTGCTTCCTCTAATTCACTATACGCAAAACAGAGCTCCATAACTTACTAATGCAGGTAAATATCAGAGTTCAAGATCTGAAGCCAAACGGAAGAGGCATTCACGTGCTGTCTTAGAGAAACTAACACAAAATTTCTTCAAGAAAATTCCACCTTAATAATATAACAATAATCTTTATTTCTAAAGTAAATGTACAAGGTATGCAGACAATACCTGACATCAGTGACGTACTGTATAGAGAGCCCCTGGTTATGTAGAGAATATCGGGCAAATTAAGTTAATTTTGTCCACAGGATACGACCCACACCAGTCGATTAATACCCAGATTCCATTTAATGACAGGTGAACATGGTCAGCAGGTGTCTCAAGGAAACACGCCCTAATGTTTACACTCGTACCGGATGATCGAACCACGGATCTCAGTGTGTGAGCTGAGTGGGTTAGCAACTGAGCTACGGGACACCTACATACCTCAAAACTAATTCAAACCTTCCACTAAGTAAGAAGCAGCAGCTCACTTAATGGAGCAGGGTTCAAGCCAGTCCTAAAACTTACAGACCAGTTCCTTGTTCACCAACTGGATGGCTTAAAAAGGTTCATCCATCTTGAGAAAAACCACTTACGATCAGTTTGAAAAATTCATCTATGCTCTATCCTACTTAGTAGATGATTGAGATTGTAAAAAGGATGTGATAATATTTTCCGTATCATGACTATAGAATTCCTCCTTGAAAAACATCAACTTTTAATCTCTAAAGCAACTTATAGAAGTGATATTACCCAACAGGTTCAAATTTTGTAGATGCAAGTCTGATACCTAATTATCATAGTTAATAAACATGGAATCGTTTGACTCTGAGCAATAACTAAAGAATGCCTCCTCTGACTGGCTTCAAACGTTCGGCAATGGTGGGGGTTTATTGAAAGAAAGATTTACATTGATTTTTGAGCTAGAGAATGGTTCTTATGATCGGCTTCAAACCCAGAATTAGAGAATTTTTTAAAAATTATCTTGGGCTATGTGAGTGCCGGTTTCCCACTTGTATTCAGGAAATTGTGAAAAATGAGGTACTGGCTTTCACGCGATAACTTGTGAATGCCTCATGCGATCGGCTTCAAACCTTCAATGCTAATGTATCTAAATTACATTAAATTTTTTGGACTATTACTGGATTGTGATGTACCAATTCGAAATGAAATTACGCAGATTCCACTTTTTTAATAAAAATCCTATATGATTGTAGCCACAGATATATATATATATATATATAATATATATATATATATATATATATATATATATATATATATATATATATATATATATATATATATATATATATATATATAAATTAGTTTCAAAGTTAAATGAAGCCTGAAACTAACGACGACTTTTCGGTCAGACCTGGACCATAACTTGGTCCACGTTGACCGAAATGTCGCCATAAGTTTCAGTCTCGTATGCGTGAGTTATTTATGGATTGTTCCAGTCACGGTATTGTGTGTTTTTATTCTCTATATGAACAGTTCTGAACTAATGCCACAAGAAAACATTATATTTAAGTCTCTTACGTGCGGGTTATTTGTGTACTGAACCGGTCATTTGTTCATTTATAACTTGAGAATATTTCTCATGATCAGCTACGAATTTTTAATGTTAGTGAACTTATTACCACGGTTTTATGTGGTCAGTTCTATAGGTAACATTTCCGATCTCGGTTTCAATGCCATAACTTGAGAACAACTCTTCTGATCGGCTTCAAACTTTCAGGATTGGTGGATCCTATTTGGAAAAAAAATCACAGGATTGTTTACTTTGTAGGTTCCAATTTACATTTTCATATTTTTACAAGATTAACTTGGCCTTAGACTTGGTCACAGACCGAACAGCGGGGGCGTTGACCCCCCGAAACCATCTCCAGTTATACCCCAGGTATACTCCGTAGAAATACTGTTATAGACATTATTAAATTAGGAACACTTATTTCAAAAATATGTTAGGACACCTGTTTAGTTTACTTACAGTGGCCTCCGTCTCGTGTATATTTGTCAGGCTGAGCATGACCAATATGACCACCACTTTGCCGATTAAATTCTGCTTGAATAGCCAGGTATGGATCTCTCATCACCAAGATTGCTCTGGAAAACGACTTCCGTATCTGGAAAAAATGGCAGAACGAAAATTAATCCTTTGTAAGACTTAGTTAAATAGATTATAAATATTCATTTTATTTGGGGTAATATAGTTCCTGCAAAGGAATTAATAGGTGCCTAAAATACGACAATATTATTGATGTCGATTTTTACATATTTCAGGAATTAAATGTTCTAATTGCATGCTATCACTTAGATTTTTTTTCTTGGGCTCATAGCCCAAAAGTAAACAATGTATCAGCGACGAATGATAACGTTCAGAATGTGTGCCGTCAGATCAGAATTTCTGTCATAATAAATGTTCAGACAATGTTGTGACAAAAATTAATGGATAATAAATGTTTTCAGTTATAATAAATTAGGTGTAAAATGTGAACTGTATTTTTCCATATTTTTGTTTCAGATGATGAATGAAAACTGAGGGTTTTACCTAATCATCAATTTTGGGACATCCTTTTAACTTTCTAGCTCAGCTTCCTTCTGGTTTTTGCTTCTCTTGTAATATTCGTTTCCTTTGCTCGTGTAAGGATTTGATTCAGCAATGCCAACTGTTCGTAAGATCTCACATGGGAAAGATGGGGAAAATTGCATTTACTTGGATGTATCATTATATACATAACAGTAAATGAACAAAGATAATTATTATTTATCAGTTAGACAAGTAGGAATTTGGGACACCTAGGTCGCAAAAAATGACCCCCTTCAATACCTACCACTGTCATATCCACAAGTTGCTCTGGACCTATTAATTAAATGAAATATACATCAGGAATGCTGGTAAATATATACATTCGTGGACTGTATATTAAAATTAAAAAAGGATTATAGTATATACACACATTTATATAACAGAAGGAGAATATATCTTAATCATTACACTCACCAATTTGACTGGAGATTAAGTTGTATCATACTCAGAAAACCTCACTGTCTATACATGAAAATAACAACTGGCCAGAGTTATAACATAACAGACTTATCTGAGGTTCCTGGAGCTGTCCTGTCCAGTCGCCTGATATCTCAAGTTATGTAGGAATGCACATCCAACAATTTCGCCTCCTATTTGAGAGGTATCAATCCAATTTTAACCTCTAGAGCATGAAAATTCTTCACATTATTAATTAACGTCTTACTCCATTCAAACAAAATGGCGACTGCCCATCTTTTAAAAATACACTTTTATTAAATACAATATAGGGCATCTATTTACCTATAAATTACCGTATTTCCGGAAAACATACAGTATTTTCCACACTGCGGCCAGGCGGAGTTCGTTGCTAAACGACTCAAATTACTCCTTCCTTTAGGAGACAATTCCAGCCGGTTCTGGCTTAAGTGGCTGTTCTCCTAGTAGGTCTTACTACGATTTCATTTTCCGGCATCACTTGGTCTGCGTTATCTTCCATATCACTCGAGTCACTTTCCCTCAGATTTTCATTTACATTTGATTGAACACCTAATTCCAAGGGAATCAATTTATTAATTGTGTGTAAACTTTCCTGGCCACGACACAACACTTTGACATTCCTGACAACACCTTGTGCATCTGGGTACAATGTCAATACTTTGCCCAGAGGCCACAATGTTCGATGTCGTTCAGCGTCAATTAACACAATGTCACCTGGTTGAATGGTCTGTCGATTTACTGCCTCTGTCGCACAATAAAAGTGTTCATGTAGTGTAAGAAGATATTCCTTACGCCACACATTAGACCAATGATAATAAGGAATATCCACTAGGAATTTTTATTAATCCTGTGATACTCCAATACTGAAACTGTGTACTGTGCCAAAACAAAAGCATTTACATTGCTAAACTCACAAACTAGTATTTAGTCACTTTTTATTTATTTATTTATTTATTTAGAAATTTTAGCATACAAACAGAGGTACAAAAAATACAGGTAAGAGCAGCATGCCAAAGCCACTTATATGCATAGCATTACGGGCTGGCTTAAAATTAACTTAAGATTAACTAAGCAATGATGAAATCAGTGATAAGACATTATTGTAAACAGATAACTATAAAATACAAATGAGTATTACAAAGACAGGTCCTATGGTTGCATGCATTGCTGTTCATTCAGTAGAATGGAGTATTCTGTTAGGTAGTGTATTTAAAAAAATAACAAAGTTAGGTTTAACATTTGTGTGATATAATTGTGAGTAACATTTAGGATATACAATTTATATGGTTCAGTTATTCAGTATTTATTTGGTTTTGAGTGAGTAAGTGAACTTTGAGAAGAGACTTGAATTTATAAACAGGTAGTGTTTCTTTTATATTTACAGGTAATGAATTCCAGATTTTAGGGCCTTTTATGTGCATCGAGTTTTTGCATAGCGTGAGATGGACACGAGGAACATCAAAGAGTGATCTGTGCCTTGTATTATGGTCATGTGTTCTGTTGAGGTTGGCAAGGAGATGTTTGAGGGGAGGGTTAATATCAGAGTTAAGTGTTTCTATGTATGTAATAAGTGCAATAATAAGTATGGATGTTTTGTATGGTGAGTAGGTTGAGTGTTTTGAATATTGGTGGAGTGTGCTGCCTGTAGTGAGAATTTGTTATCATTCTAACTGCAGCCTTTTGTTGGGTAATTAGTGGTCTGAGATGGTTAGTTGTTGTTGAGCCCCATGCACAAATTCCATAGATGAGATAGGGGTAAATAAGAGAGTGATATAGGGCCAGGAGGGCTGACTGTGGAACATAGTACCGTATCTTCGATAGTATGCCTACAGTCTTGGAAATTTTCTTAGAAATTTGTTGTATATGTGTATGAAATTTGAGTCTATTATCGAGGTGGATTCCTAAGAATTTTCCCTCTGTTAGCTTTGTGATAGGTAATCCGTTTATCGTTATGTTAAGAGGTACATCTGTAGCTCTGTTACCAAACTGAATGAAGTAGGTTTTGTCAATGTTTAGTGTAAGTTTGTTAGTCCTCATCCAGGTAGATATTTTCTGTAATTCGGTGTTTACAGTATTGGCTAGCGTGACTGGGCTCGGGTGAGAGAAGACGTATGTGGTGTCATCTGCAAAAAGTGTGGGTTTGAGTAATTGCGAAGCATTTGGTAGGTCATTTATGTATAGGAGAAAGAGAAGAGGGCCAAGGACACTTCCCTGTGGGACACCAACTGTAATTGGTTGTGCGGAAGAGCTTGCCCCATTTGCGTACACATATTGGCTTCTGTTGCTGAGGTAAGACTTGAGGTAGTTGAGGGAGTGCCCTCTAATACCATAGTGTGACAATTTTACATGGAGCAAGTCATGGTCAACTGTATCAAAAGCTTTACGTAAGTCAATGAAGATCCCCAGTGGGACTTCTTTTTTCTCTATTGCAGTGTATATATGTTCTAGCATGTGTATATAGCATCATTAGTATTTTTATTAGGCCTGAATCCAAATTGGCAGGGGTTGAGAATGTTATGGGAGATGAGGTAGGAGTGGATTCGTTTATAAATTAATTTTTCGAAGATTTTTGAGAGAGGGTGTAAATTGGATATTGGCCTATAGTTATTCAACTCTGTTTGGTCTCCTCCTTTATGGATCGGGGTGACCCTTGCTATTTTGAGAACTGTAGGGAAGGTGGAGGATTCAATGGATTTGTTAAAGAGTGTTGCAATGATTGGTGATAGTACTTGTGACGCTTTTTTGTATATAAAGGGTGGTAAGGTATTTAAATCTCCTGCCTTGTTTTTCAGTGCGTTGATAATAAGGGAGACTTCGTATGGGTTAGTCGGAGCTAGGAACAGTGTGTTCGGGTAGTTGCCAGTGAGGTAGTCATTTGGTGGGGTATCTGAGCTTGGGATATTATTGGCAAGGTTTTGACCTATAGTGGAGAAGAAATCATTGAGTCTGTTTGCTGTTTCTGTTGGTGGGAGTTGGGGTTCATCTGATTTTGCTAATTTTATTTCGCTATGTCGTGATATCTTTTTTGTTCCCAGAATTTCTGATAGGGTTTTCCAGGTCTTTTTTATATCACCTCGTAAGTTGGATAATCTGTTCTCATAATACAAGTTTTTTGCCCTTCTTATCAGGCTGGTTAGGATTGACGAGTAACGTTTTGTTTGGTCTCTGGTTATCTGACCCATTCTGTACTGTTTTTCATAATACCAACTTACCTCATAATTTGTAATATTTTACAATTAAGAATAAAACTAAGTCTGCCCGAAATGCCTAGCCATGCTAAGCGTTCTAGTGGTACGCTCTGTAATCACTATTTTACTACATGTAAACCACACAATAACCAAATTTCTGTAAACTCAGCATTGTAATCCTTATAGAGAATAAACTTTGAATTTGAATTTGAATTTGATTGATCAATTAATTTATTTAACATTTTAAATTTATCACACAACACTGCCGCATCACTGTAATCTTCATCACTTTCTTCCGGATTATCTCTATAGACAGGGGCAGCTTCCACATGTTAGGTGAGAAGGTGTTAATACATCTGCATCAGGTGTATCACTCATGTACGAGAGAGGCCTATTATTTATATGATTCTCCGCCTCTACTAACACTGCACGGAATTCTTCCAAATTAATTCTCTTCCGGTGTAGTACTTTACGGAGACACCTCTTCACTGTGCCTATCAGTCTTTCGTACAGCCCCCCCTGCCAAGGGGCTCTAGGAGTAATAAATTTCCAGGTACACCCTCGTTGGGTTAACAGAGATTGAACATCGTTACTATTATTTAATTCTATCAAATGTTGAGCACCTGCTACAAAATTTGTGGCATTATCCGAAATCATCAATCTCGGACAGGATCTCCTAGCTGCAAATTTTCGAAACAGCTGTATAAACTGTTCTGCAGACAAGTCCTGTGCCACTTCTAAATGAACTACCCTAGTAGCAGTACAGGTGAACAAACATACACTTTCAGTGGAACACCATCTGAAGTATCTGTTAAAATTATTGGACCACTATAGTCTACACCTGTTACATCAAATGGTTTCACTAATTTTACACGCTCCTTTGGCAATGGTGGAGGACCTGGGTACATAT